TTTAGGTACAAAAATCTCATGCCATGTTGTGCAACTCCTCTACAGCACAAAAGTTAAAGTCTGTCTGTGTTCTGAAAGCATTTTTGACCTTGGGTTATTTTGAAGAGTTGATAACATTTTCTTAGGGGATTTGGGGGGTGGCGCTCGAACCTCAGATGTGTTGTCACTATGTAATCTGATACTTGCTACATTTCTGGTCCCTCTTCTTTCCACTTTTTACTTGGATCATTATTTTCCATCCACACTGGTCTTTTAGAGTTTCTTGACAATACCATGGTAGTTTCTGCACAGGAGTTGTCTCTCTACATTCCTCATTCCACTAATCTGTATATGTCTATTTACGTCTGATCATTTTTTAAATTATTGGCGCTCTTCCTTATTATTAAACATGTTAATATATTTAATAACTTTTCCTAAGGAAATAAAAAAAGAATATAAAATCGGCTGAACTGTCACCTACTTAGAGAATCCTTCTCTGCCTACCCACTATGAAGTACCCTCCAAAATATAATCATAGCCCTCCATTTCCATTAACTCATTCTAATAATCACTTTCTGACTTTTTTTGTTTATCTTCAATTCAATTCAATTCAATTCAATTAGATTAATGACTGTCTCATTTTCTTCCCTAACCATCTGAATTTGGTTACTTGGCAAAACAAAAACTTTTGTGTTCTATAATTATTCAACAAATACTTACTGAAAACCTAATAGGTGCCAAGCATAAATAAAACAATAGTTCTTCCCTCACTGACATCAAGTCTAGAGAAGGAGATGGAAAGTAACAAAAGTCAAATGGTAATTATACAAAAATAATTATAATTTTGGTCATTGTTACTAGGAAAATGAAGATGTTAACATAGAGAATAATGGTGGGAGTGGAAGAAACTTTGAATACAGTCATGGGGGGAAGCTTCTCTCAGAAAATGTGACTTAATCTAACTAGTATTGGAAGTTAGAGAGAAACAACCACCTGAAGGGTGTGAGGGCTAATTTTCAGGTAGAGAGAAGCAAAATCACTGAGATGGGGAAAGGCCTGTGTACTTCTAAGGCTGATGCTCAGTGACTGAGGGGTTGAGGGCTTGAGGTGTGTTTGCAGAGGTGGAGGCAGCAGCAACACAATCAGGGAATCCTAGGACAAGACAAGGCGATTCTGAGGCGATGGGAACTAAGGACAGGTATAAAGCAGGAAAGTATCATAATCTCTAAACTGTAAATAATCTGAATCATAATTCAGAGTCCATAGTTTTAAAAGGTACCCCTGGCTTCCAGGGAGAATGCACAGGTTTAGTTCTCACGCATTTCTGAAAGAACGACTTCTGCTTTGGGGAAACACACGATGTTCTCAGCATGACAGTTACTCGCCAACCAAAGGCCCCCGTTTCATCCAAAGTTTCTTCATGGCAGTTTTCACCTCTGCATTCCTCAGGGTGTAGATCAAGGGATTCAACATGGGTGTGATGACTGAATCAGACAGAGCCATTGCCTTGTCAATGGGGTAAGTGACCACAGGCCTCATGTACAAGAAAATACACGGCACAAAGAACAACACAACCACTGTGAGGTGGGAGCCGCAGGTGGAGAGGGCTTTGCGCCGCCCTTCAGAGCTGCGAGACTTCAGGGAACATAGGATGACCATGTAGGAGGCAATTAGGATAAGGAAGATGGCCACACACATCACCCCACTGTTCAAGGTGACTAAGAGGCCCAGGAAATGGGTGTCCATGCAGGCAAGTGCCAGCAACTGAAACAAATCACATATAAAGTGATCTATGACATTAGGGCCACAAAAGGGTATTTGATACATGAAGAGGAGCTGTACTGCTGCATGAATAAATCCCCCCACCCAAGCCCCTCCCACCATCAGGCAGCACACCCTGGGACGCATGATGCTCGAGTAGTGCAAGGGCTTACAGATGGCCACATAGCGGTCATAGGCCATCACAATGAGCAGGATGATCCCCACACCGCCAAAGAAATGCTCCGCAAAGAGCTGGGTCATGCAGCCTTCAAGGGAGATGCTAGTGCTCTCAGAGAGGGAGTCCACAATCATCTTGGGGGCAATGACAGAAGAGAAGAAGACATCCGAAATGGACAAGAAGGCAAGAAAAAAATACATAGGTGATCTCAGATTCTGACTTGTGATTATGGTGACCACAATGAGTAGATTTCCCAGCACTGTGGCCACATACATGATTAGAAACATGGCAGAAGATATTTTCCGCAGCTCTGGGTTCTCTATAAGGCCCAGAAGAATGAATTTTGTCACATTGTTTTTATTTTCCATTTATCAGGTGCTGATATGAGTTCCAGCTGAGAATGAATATCCTGAAAAAAGTGCACATATGATTTATAATTAGGGACTAGTTGGCTTCCTGTATTTCCAGAACCCCGGGGAAACTGTTGTTTTTTACTCATTTATTTGCCATCTAAACATTTGGCTTTTAAGAATTTACTAAATAAAGAATTTAAGAGACAGATACTTCATTAATACAACATTTCCCCAAACCTTTTCTCCTCTCTTGCTAAATTGTTGTTCCACGTCAAATGGGTTTCTCTTTGTCCTTCTCCTACCTTTATGATTGTTATTATTAATGGCCAAATTTTTAAGTGCCTAACTCATATTTGAGGCAATTCCTCATTACAGGCACTAGGATAATCCTATTATTAGATTTATTTTATAGATAAAGGAAGTGACTCTTATAAAGTTTAGGAAACTTAACCAAGGTTGCATGGCTGGTGAAGAGGGAAGCCAGAATGTGGACCATATGTTCTGATTCCAGTGCTCTCCAACATCAATATGCTTTCCTCGGGATCAGGCTGTGAGCTTATCATTCACCAATGACTCTGCTAAGTACATTACGATGATTACCCTGTTTTATTTTAAAAACAATCTGGTGTGTGGGTTATTCTTGTGCCTTTTTTTTTGAAAAATAAGGTAATTCTTTTGTATTTTTTTGCTTTATTTCTAAATTTTGAATCATCATATACCTGAAAATAGTGATTATATAATCTTTGACTAATATTTTGTTCAATGATGAAAATTACAAACCGTGATGGTCCAACAAAAATCCATATGCCCAATATAACTGACTTGAATGTGAAATCGGCCCAGGTCATTCCTTTCAGTTTTCTCTGTCCCTCAAACGCGGCAAAGGATTCCGAGGATAACAATGACAGCAACTGAACAATTAGCTTTGAGGGCTGACTAACTGTGTTGCTGGGCACTGTGCCAAGTTATGTTAGATATATTACCTCATATAAATCTGTGGATACCATATGAGGCAGGTGCCTGTACTACTCCCATTGTACAGAGAAACTGAAGTTTTGGAAAGTTAAATCTCTTGAATAAGGTTATATAATTATTTTATTGTGGAGCTGGCACTTTGATCACACAGCTCAAATTCTTATCTACTATGTTCCACCATAGGAGAAGAACAAACAGATTATGTGGTGTTCAAGGGGAGTTACTACTGCAACCAAGAGGAAAGCTGCAATGAACATGTCTCATATTACTAAGGACTTTTAAGCAGAGGCTGATTTCAATTTCTTAGGAATTTTGCAAAAAGTACAATTTTACATTGATATTGGATTATACAGTCTGTGAATGATGAGAGGTTGCTCTTGCTATTCAATAACCCACTCCCCACCATCCCTTACACAAAGTGTGGAGCAACCACAAGAGACTGGGGAAATTCCATATATTACTTAATCTCATCCTTTCCCTCCCAGCCGAATAGCTGAGGACTTTCTTGCAACTTTACTTGTAAAGTAAAAAGAGCACTGGCTTGGGAGTCAGGAAATGAGAAGGGTGTTTTATTTCAAGTTGCGTCACTAATGTAGTCTGTAAATTTAGAAATGATGCTGGAATCTCTGAGTCTCGGTTTCCTCATCTGCAATGTAAAGAGAGGTCACTAGATGAGTAATAACAGGACTGACTGTGTTCTCTTCAAGCACACTTATTCTTATTTGTATTAATTGTTTATGCCTCTGGGTAAAATTTCCTTAAGGGGTGGTACATTTCATGATCAAAAAGTTGAATGCCCTTTCTCTAGGTAAAAATCTATGCCCTGTCTGTCCTTAAGGTTTGGAACCTACAGTGACTTCCTGTTGATACAGAACAGAATTTAATTTCCCATCTGACATTCAACTCCAGTTACCAGCCCCCCTCCCTTACTCATTGGACTTTTAAACTACTAGATAAAATACAAAGATAGTTATTTTGGATCTAAGTAGATTCATCAATATAGTCATTTCAAAATGGTAACATCAATAACAATAATTAGCATTTATTTGTTATAGTGAGTTTGTCACTTGCTC